CTAGGATATTGAGTAAATTCCACATGAATTTTGAAAACATAGCAAGAAAAAATGTAAAACCCTGAACACTAATGACAGAAGACCTAATGAGCTCTGGAATGACACTAAGAACATCATACATGAAGAAAGAAAAAGGTCATTAAAAAGATAAGATATCCAAAGTAGATATCATAAGAGACTCTGAAACTTGATCTTAATCGTAAAGTAAGGATGAAGTCAAATTGCTAAATAGAACCTTTCAAAAGGCAGCTCAAGAAGAGATAATATTATAATGAAATGTGCAAAGACCTGGAGTTAAAGGGCCAAAAAGCAAAGAACATACTCAGCATACTTCAAACTGAAAAAAACTGAACAAAAACAATTAAGCTTTGAGTTGTAATACTGAAGCATTCTATGAAGAAAATATTGAAGGATGCAGGAAGTGTCAAAGGGCAAGGGATACACAGAGTCACTGTACCAAAAAGAAATAGTTGACATTCAACTGTTTCAAGAGGTAGCATATGATCAAGAGTTGATGGCATGAAGGAAGAAGTCCAAGCTGCACTGAAGACATTAGCCAAAAACAAGGCTCCAAGAATTGACAGAATACCAATTGTTGGGGCTATTGAAGCACTGGAAGCATTCACTTGAGTACTGCCAGAAAAATTGGAGGGCATCTGCCTGGCCAATCACCTGGAAGAGATCCCTATTTGTGTCCACTCCAAAGAGCTGACCTAACAAAATGCAGAAATCATTGAATAATTATCAGTGGTTTAACATGAAAACAAGATTTTGCTGATGATAATCCAGAGATGCCTGCAGCAGTTTATGGACAGGAAGCTGCCAAAAATTCAAGCCAGAGTCACAGGAGATTGTGGAACAAAGGACATCATTGCTGATGTCAGATGAATCTTGGCTGACAACAGATAATACCAGAAGAACGTTTATTTGTGTTTTGTTAACTACGTGAGGACATTCAATAGTATGGATCAAAACTATGGATAACACTTGGAAGAATGGGAATTTCAGAACACTTCCTTGTGTTCCTGCAGAACCTGTATATGGAGCATGAGGCACTTGTAGAAACAGAACAAAGGAATAGCACATGGTTTACAATCAGGAAAGTTGTGTATCAGGGTTGTATCCTCTCACTATAGTCATATAGCTAGGCTACATGACAATCGCAGCATCAGGATCAAAGGAATGCTTATTATCAACCTGGAATATGCAGATGATACTGAAAGCAAGGAAGACTTGAAATACTTGCTGATAAAGATCTAGGACTGCAGCCTTCAGTGTGGATTGCACATCAATGTAAATAAACAAAACCCAAATCCTCACAACTGAACCAATAGACAGCATCATGAGAAATAAAGGAGGGGGAAAATGAACTTGTCAAGGATTTCATTTTGTTTGATCGACAATCAATGCTTATGGAAGGGGCTATCAAGAAATCAAACAACTGCAATGGGAAAATCTGCTGCACAAGAGCCCTTTGAAAACTTAGGTGCACCTGATTCAAGATATGATATTTCCAACCACCTCATATATGTGTGAAATTTGGACAATGAATATGGGATACCAAAGAAAGATTAACACATTTGAGTTATGACGTTAGCAAAAAGTATTAAAGGAACCACGGAATGCCAGAAGAATAAACAAATCTGTCTTGGAAGAAGTATACCCAGAAGGTTCCTTAGAAGCAAGAAGGTGTACTTTGGACATGTTATCAGGAGAGACTGATCTCTAGGAATGGACATCACGGTTGGTAAAGTAAAAGATCATCGAAAAAGAGGAAGATCATCAAGGAGATAGATTGATACAGAGGCTGCAACAATAGGCTCCAGTGTAAGAACAATTGTGAGGATGGAGGACTGACCAGTGTTTCATTCTGCTGCCTATAGGGTCACTGTGAGATAATAGCACAGAACTAACTCATAGCACCTAACAAGAAAGAATGTTCTGGAATGTCCCCCCTACCACCACCACCCCTGTCCCCCCATAGGTTACAGAAAACAACTGCACCTACAGTTCCTATCAAAGTCTTCCTTCTGGCATAACCTTCAGTTTCCAGATCCCTCACCAACCAACGAAGAGAGCTTTAGCTATACCCCAGCTGCATTTGATTTTTACCTTTATACACCCTTGCCACTCCATGCGTTCAGCAGGAGCTTAGGCAGTAAGATTTACCTACTCCTGAACTCAAGTTGTGAATATTCTCAGTAAATCTCTCTTTCATTAGATATTTCATAGTCTGAGTTTTACTCTTGAGCATTTCCTAGGTGCGGTTGGCAGGATCCAAAGGTGCCTTGACTGTGATGGCTCCAGGGAATCATGACCTCATAGTTGGATGCCAGCACAAGTGTTTTGTGCTCATTGGTATTCAGATATCGAGTTGTTCCAGGTAAGGCCTCTTAGATAAAATTCAGTTGCGCGTAAAGGTCTTTGGAAGATATATTTCCTTTATAAACCCTTAATCACTCCATCTCTCCATGGAGTTGCTAATCTTAGCATGCAAGACTTGCTGTCCCATGTTTATTTTAGGAGCCCTGGTGGCATAGACAGTTACAGTCTTGGGGGTCACAATGTGTCATCACTGACTAGATGACAGCTCATTGGTGGCATAGAGGGTTATTCATTGGGCCGCTAACTGCAAGACTTGCTGCCTCCCTAATGCAGGTTGCTTAGATTTTCAATCAATCTCTTTAATTAGGAGTTTTTCCGAGGCATCCTCAGAACCTCACTCTTGGACACTTTGGCTATTACTTTGGTAGGGTGTCAGCAAATATGAGGAGGCTCTTCAACCAGATGGATTGACCCAATGGCTGCAACCCTGGATTCAAAGACAATAATGAGTAGTGTCTGGCACATCGCAGAAATTCAACTCAACTTCTAAGGGCGTGCCCCCACCCGCCCCACCAAAGAAAAACACAGAAAAAGCTCTGCTGGGCAGAGCTTTCCTAGTACGCATTATTTCTGCATCAAGCAACTTGCTCTTCTGAGTTAGTGCACCCAGTGGCATTGCCTGGGAAGGTTCATTCTGGTCACAGTGAATTTTTTTGGTCAAAGCAGTTTCACTGGACCTCGTTTTTGTGATCCACTGATTTAGGAGAACAGTAGGTAACTGTGAAATTTTGTTTGCTGCTTGGGAAAAATGCTGCAGAAACTACTTTGATGTTGAACACAGCTTATGAGGACAGCACTATGGAAATACTCAAGTGTACGAGTGTTTTCCTAGTTTCAAAAACGGTGAAATGTCGATCAATGACAAACCTCGTTCTGGATGTCAGTCAACTTCCTGAGGTGATGAAAATGTCAACCTGCAGTGCATTTGGACTTTGTTCCACTGGGTCAGACTGTTAATCAAGCTTTCTAGTTAGAGGTACTAAAAAGGTTATGTAACAGTGTATGACAAAAAAAGGCCTGATTTGTGGCAGATGGGGGACTGGTTTTACCACCACGACAATACACCTGCTCACGTAGCAATCTCTGCACCAGTTTTTGGAAAAAACCAGAATGCCTCTCTGGCCCCATGCACCTGACTCACCTGACCTCGCTCTGTGCGACTTCCTTTTGTTTCCTCGAATGAAGACAGACATGAAAGGACAAGGATTTGGCAACGGTAGAAGGTGAAGAAAAGAAACGAGGGTGGTGCTGTCAGCCATTCCGAACAGATGAGTTTGAAAAATGTTTCCAAGAATAGAATCGCACATTTGATAGATATACTAAGTGCAATGGAGAGTATTTTGAAGGTGATAAGGTCGTTTTGTTAAAAAAAAATTTAAATATATAGCTTTGAAAAAAAATCTGAGTTTTTTGGGGTACCTCCTCATATGTGTATTAAAGAAATGATTGTCACCTGTGACCTTCAGTGAGGCACTTTTTAAAAGGTTTTCTTCAGTAAACATTTTTACAGAAGTGCTGTGATGGTGAACATGATTTGTAGGTTAAGAATATTCGGATGTTACAAGCTTTATTCTCTGCTTGGCCGGCCCTACTCTACTTTTCCCATCAAATTTATCTTAATGCTCCCCAGTAGCAAGGTCCTATAGCAATACCATGCAAACTACCTCTGTAATATCAAGAATTTTAGTAGCTAAATTTTTTAAAAAGCAGGCGAAATTTTAATATATCTTATTTAACACAAACTATTCAAAATATCGTCAATGCGCGATTTTACATGTTCTTATGATTGTCTTTGATATCTGGGGTGCATGATGCACTGAGAGCAAATCGCAATTCGAGGTAGCCCCATTCCAGGAGCCCCATGGCCCCGCTTCACGGTAATTACCTTGGTAATTACCGGGGATGCTCCCGGGGCTCCCTCGCCCTCGCCACGCCTCACCCCGGGCGTGGGGTGCTCCCTCTCCGTCCTAAAGGCTCGGCTCCCGGAGGAATGAATGCCGGGCCGGGCTCCCGTCAGTCACCTGGTGACGGTCTGACCTATCACGGGGCTCATTAAGTGCCGAAGTAATTAATGGACGGCAGCGGGCGGCGGGAGAGC